CTGCTCATACTAAAAAGTTAGGAGGTGTCAATATATCCTAACGATGTGAAGCCTGGTATTGTTAGGATGCAATAACATGTCCTAACGTCATGATGTTTCTAAATGTAATTTCAGTTTATTATGTTTTATGTTATGATTTTTCTTTTTCAGGTGGTAATACAGAGTCAAAGTTGTTCCTGGTTTCCAGGGTGCATACATGTAACTCAAAGCAATACTTTAGTATATACAACCTGCCTTGTAAAACACACATCCTAGCTTTTTTACTTTAGTTTGTGAAAGTTGAATTCAACAGAAGTTTATATCCAGTATTGAATAGATGTAACATTTCAGAGAAATGAACTGAAAAACATGAAGTATATGCTAAAAATACAAACAGTGTGCTAAACCCAGCCTTTATTAAAGTAAGACGTGGTGGTGCAATTGTCATTGAATCAATTTCAGAATGTTTAAGATTGCCATTGAATAGTAAGTGTGGACAAACTTATCACATGTGCATTAGGCAAGATAGTACAAGTGAAGACCCAAGCTCCAGTCACTTAGTAAAATAAGAACAAAATAGTACCAATCCCATTTAGTTAATGTTTAATCCATCTTTAAAGGGTTATTCCTAGAACCAAAACCACTACTGCACCAATGGCACTGACATGGTGGAGTTACACCTGCTGCAGCAAAGGGGTTAAACTGTGTATGTGCAGCATTTCGTAGCAAAATGCTACACATACAGACTTCTGGTGCCACGACCACTTCAAAACACTGAAGTATCATAGGGGTTGGGTAACTCTTTAGGATGGACAAGGCAAAGTTTTGATCTTCTCAGTTTGTGACAGGCCTTTTGAGTCTAGGTCTGCCTTTGGATTGATTAACCAGTCTGCTAAGTGTGACCAAATTACCTGAAATGATTATGCAGTTCCAACTTTTACTATTCCAAATCATTCGCATATCGACTAGAACAGTAGATAGTTCGGCATTTATCCTGATGTTACATGTTAAAGGGACACTTTAGTCACCAGAACAACTACAGCTTATTGAATTTGTTCTGGTGAGTAGAATCATTACCTTCAGGCTTTTTTGCTGTAAACAGTGTCTTTTCAGAGAAAATGCAGTGTTTACATTACAGCCTAGTGATAACCTCACTGGCCACTCCTCAGATGGCTGTTAGAGATCCTTTCTGGGTCATGGCTGCCTAAAATGCATTCAAACATTCAGTATCTCCTCCCTCTGCATGCAGACACTGAACTTTCCTCATAGAGATTCATTGATTCAATTCATCTCTATGAGGAGATGTTGATTGGCCAGGGCTGTGTTTGAATCATGCTGGCTCTGCACCTGATCTGCCTCTTTGTCAGTCTCAGCCAATCCTATGGGGAAGCATTGTGATTGGATGGATCAGGCCACCACCTCTTATGATGTCAGCAGACAGCTTGTTTTTCTGAGGCAAACAGCATGCAGATCTACAGCTTCAGGCTTGAATACAGTAAGATTTTGCTATAATTATGGAGGTATGAGGGCAGGGCCGGATAAACATAGGGGCTGATGGAGCTGCAGCTTTTTATTTATTTATTTATTTATTTTTTACACACTACTCTTAGGGTTGTTCACCTGGTCGGTATTTAGTTGAGGCTGCCTGGCCAGTGTCAAAATTGCAGTAATACCGGCAATACAAATGCCGGTATTTTTCTCAGTATAAACAGAGATTACTCTGCAATACCATCATTGGCCACTATAGGTCGCTGTGTGTGTGTGGAGCAAGGCAGGGATAGGAAATTACAGCATATACCTGCATCTCTCTACTCACTGATCTGCGGGGGAGCAGCTACACAGCACAGAGAGTGCAGAGAGCAGCTCCCAACCTGCAGAGACAGCCTACAACTCAGGGATGGGGTAAAGGCTGCAGGGAGACATGGGGACACTGAGAAACTAGGGGACACTGTGAGAAATGGCGACACAGGGAGACCTCTGGGGATGCTGAGACACTTGGGGACACTTGGAGACACTGGGACACAGACACACATGGGGACAGTGAGAAATGGCGACACAGGGAGACCTCTGGGGATGCTGAGACACTTGGGGACACTTGGAGACACTGGGACACAGACACACATGGGGACACTGAGACCTGGGAGCACTGAGACACTAGGGGATGCTTGGAGACATGGGGACACAGACACACATGGGGACACTTGGGGACACTGAGACATGAGGAAACAGACACACATGGAGACACAGACATGGGGACACTGAGACACTTGGGAAAACTGGGAGACATGGGAACACTGAGACACAAGGGACCCAATGTCTTCGTGTCACCATGTCTCTAAGCCAGTGTCCCTGGTGTCTCAGTGTCCCCATGTCTCCCAGTGTCTCAGTGTTCCCATGTCTTCCAGTGTTCCTAGTGTCTGAGTGCCCATGTCTTCCAGTGTCCCTAGTGTCTCAGTGTCCCCATGTCTCCCAGTGTCCACGTCTCCCAGTGTCTGTGTCTCCATGTGTATCCAAGTGTCTCATTATTCCCAAGTGTCTCAGTGTCTCCATGTCTCTCAGTGTCCCCTAGTGACATGGGGACACAAACACTAGGGGACACTGGGCAAAATGGGGACACTGGGAGACATGGGGCACTGAGACACTGTTATACATAGGGACACTGTGATACGTAGTCTGTGTCCCCCAGTCTCCCGGTGTCCCCAAGTGTCTCACTGTCCCCAAGTGTCTCACAGTGTTCCCTAGTGAAATGGGGACACTGGTAGACATGGGGACACAGACACTAGAGGACACTGGGTGACATGGGGACACTGGGTGACATGGGAGTAATCCATCTATACAGCAGAATCAAACTGTAAGTAGTTTTTTTGGTGATTTCACAGAATTTTCTCTTATGTCACTCCTTGTGATCTACATCATGTGATGTCACACATACATAATTAGTTATGCAAATTAGTAAGACCTGTATTTTTTTCCAAGATTGGTGGCAACCCTAACAACTTTTCACATACTCTTGCTTAAGTATGGAAACTTAAGAGGGATATATGGAAACAAAGCTTGTGTGGAATAGCTGAAATGAAATTAGTTAAGGTAATGCTAACTTTGGTCTCTCTAACACTGTGGCATGTCCCCTTTCTTTTACACTCACTACATCCACCTTTTCTCTGTCTCAGACTATATACCAGGAGCTTCTGCCTGCTAGTAAGAAGGTCAAGAGACAAGTGGACATGTGAGTGCTAGGGGACAGTCTTTAGAAAGCATAGAGCGAGCGCATCATTTGAAGCATTTATGCCAAGCTCAGGATGCTGTTGGCCAGCATGGATGATTGCCAGGCTAGCCTTCCAATTCTTTGGGCAGACATGCCTCCTTTTTGGGCATGCTCGTCCCTTGCAGAAGTTCTGGTTACATGATCCGCGTCAGTGGCCCACATGAATTAGCATGAATTAGAGAGAGATTAGCATATTTTAAGAGAATCTGAATTTTTTTATAGCTGCATCCTATGAGTTTCCCTCCGGCAACATCTCCACCAGATACATAACGCTTGAGATGTATGACTGTTTTAGTATTTTTGGTCGAAAAGATTCTGTACTTAGGCCCCTCATAATTGTCAGCACCAGGCCCACTGGGCTCTTTATCTAGCCCTGTATGAGGGGCACAGGGGGCTAGATGGTGGTTTTAACACTATAGGGTCAGGAATACATGTTTGTGTTCTGACCCTATAGTGATGCTTTAAATATTCTGCAATCACAATGCCTTGTTTAAAACGTTAAAGTCCTATGACTTCATAGTCTACCAAGTATCCCATTCAACTATTTTGACTTTCCATTTCTATGTTACTCCCACTGTAACTGTTCTATATAAATCTGTCCAACTCATTGTTCAGATAGAAAAGTGTCAGACCACACAACACATCACAGTTTGCTGCGTAGTCGCAGATTGGTCAGAGTACCTATAATGACTCATGTCCAGCACCGAAAGTGACTTCAATGGGGACGTGAGCATCAGAGCTGGTCCATGGAGCAATGGGTGAATGTTTCTCTGGCCAGATGGATCACGTATTCCTTTAAATCAGTTGGTCAGAAAGGTAGGCCTGTTTACTTGGGAAAGAGATGGTAACAGCATACACTATGGGAAGAAGGCAAGCCGGTGGAGACAGTAGTATGCTCTAGGGAGTGTTTTGCTGGGAAATCCTGGGTCCTGGCATTCATGTGAATGTAACTTGGACACATACCACTTACCTAGAGATTGTTGCAGACCACGCACACCCCTTTAAGGCAATGTTGTCCCCTGGTGGCAGTGACACCTTTGAGCAGGATTATGCACTCTGCCACACTGCAAATATCGTTCAGGAATGGATTGAGGCAATGAGAAAGAGTTCAAGCTGTTGCCTTGGCCTCCAAATTCCTCAGAACTCTATTTGAAAGATTTATCATTTGCTGCTAATCTAATGTCTTGGTGTCAGATACCACAGGACACATTCGATGGTCTTGTGGAGTCCATGCCTCAATGCATCAGAGCTGTTTTGGCAGCACGAGGGGGACTAGTACCATATCAGGCAGGTGGTTTTAAAGTTATGGCTGATCAGTGCATAACTGCACTTTAGAAAAGTCTTATAAAGCTCAAAGAAAACATTGTTCGCAAGTACTTGCATTTCATTTAGAACTTGTTTTATAAATTAATAACTATTCTATAGTAAAAAGAAAATTACAAACATAAGAAAACAGGACCAAAATGTCATAATTTTTGCTGTAGTGATAATCAATCTTATGTAACATTACTTCCACTTTCACCATCTTCAACTTCAAAGATAATTGTTCAACCCAAACTCTTTCTGACATTTGGTAGACATTAACCAGGAAAACAGGAAGGACAGTTTGGCTATTCACCCGTAACTATATTTTTTCAATATTTCTAGTGAAATATCATACTCCAGTATACTGTGCTATCTACAAACTGGGGATCGATACCTTTACTGCATTAACAGCACTTTCCTTCTTGTGCAAATAAAAAGAAAACAACATCGATTACGTTCTTTTTGTTAAATAGTTTTCAGGTTTGTTTTATTCCTTTTGAAATCTTCCAGTGTTTTAAAACAACATGAAAACATTTAGAATTTCCTTTGGTGGAATATTATTACACGTCTCGCATATATGTAAACTTGTGGCTCGCCATATTACCAGCACACGCTCCCTACGGAAGATTTTTCTGAGCAATTTACCCTTTTATTTTTTTATTTTTACGGCCAAGGGGAGTCCAGGGAAACGTCAAGCCCCTGTGGTCGTGAAAGGGTTAAAAAAAACAAAACATAATAGAATGAAAATTAAAATGAAATAAATATAAAGAAAATAAAATGAAAATAATAAATAAAGGATATATATATATATATATATATATTGTTCTTTTGAATGCAATTCACTTATAGATTGTCTGTTAAACACGAATTTGCAATAATACAAAAAATCTACATTTTACAGTATTTCAAGAAAAATAACTTCATTTGAATACAAAAGGATAAATACATTTTATTTTTGCTTAATCTATAGCCTTTTCTCATACTGGACACACCTTATTTATTTTTTTTATCGATATGGCGTGTCTATGATATACAAGCCTTGACGTATTCTTTTTTTTCTTCTTTTCTTTAAGGGGCTGGGGAGGGAGTTATGTGCGCCACTAACATCAGACAAAATCTTTTGACCAACAAGGGTATACGGAGCGACGTTCACGAAAGCACAGGTGTAAGGGCTTCAGGGGACCAATATGGCCGCTTTCCTTAACCCACAATGCACTGGCAGCAAAGAATGACGCTATTTGGTTGGTCCACACTGGGCAGAAAGGTACATTGACTGCGCATAAGTGGCAAACAAGCAATTGGTGTCCTTATTCATTGGAGCAATTCAAGGACAGGCAATTGATTAATTGTAACTGATCCTGCCATGGTAGCAGTCCTGCTCAAGCCAATTATCTCTCTACGGCCTTGGACTTGAGTTTAATGTACTTGTGCCTTATGTTGATAATGGAAGCAGTCTTGATAGAGGCAATCATATTGCTAAGGCCTTCTCCTTTAACTGAAGGTCCTTATAGCTGGTTCTGGTACCATGGCAGCAGTTCTTCTTGAGACGGCCATCATGTTTTGAGCCAGAAACATAACAGTCATGGATTGCTCTCTCGTTGATTGATACATATGGCTTAGTACAGTCAGGCCTTCTCTTTTTAATATTGATTTAATTAAATTTGTTGATATTTATTTTTGCCCTGTCTCTTAGAGTCACTTCATCCTTCTCAAATCACAGGTCTATAATCCAAGTGCTTTAGAAAGTGCAGAGCAAAATCACAAGTAGCACAATAGTCAGTATCATCTGGAACTTAACAGACAAAGATGCCTGCCCTGATTTGGAAGAGCAACTCCCAGTGTCCTCACACTTCTGTTTCTCACACAATATACCCGTGTAGCCAGCGGGACAGTGGCACCTCACGTTGTTGTAACAAATGCCTCCATTTTGACAACGAAGCAGTTCATTGTCGCAAACATTGGCTGTAAAGAAAAACAAAACAAAAATAAAAACAAGAAGAGAGCATTAATGATTAGATCTAAGGTTTGTGTCCATTATTAATTATACTTCTAAATCAAACAGCAAATACTCATAGTGCAAGGATGTGTTCCCCACATTTTCCTAAAACAGATAATCAACATAAATGAATTATTTGATCGTGATTTCCACTCCCACTTTTTTCTACAATACAAAAAATCCATAAAAATGTTTGCTCAGTAAAATAAAAGGTGTCAAAACCAACATCTTTAAAAGACAGATGCACCAGGCAGACTGGTTGGCAATATGCCATGAGCAAACATGGGCATCAGTCTTCTAATTAAGCCATGCCTTGTCACATGTTGTCTTCGTGGTATTATGGGATATTTGAGCATTGACACTGGAATAAGAATTAAAAAGCAATTTGCCTTAAAGAGAAGACATCAACCCGTATTTCAACTGAGAGATATGGCTCAATGTGAGTTGACAAGTCACAAGATCACAAACCATTTAATAATCACAAAGAATGACATATTGGTTTTCCTTACACATCCCAACATTTCAAATGGACAAAAAGGGACACATTCATTTTAGGGGTTTAAGTGGTGGGTGTCCAGGGTGGGCCTTTTTGAGAAATTTTAGATGGATTTCTAATAACCATTTTCACAATCTAAAAATTTAATTTAGAACAATTTATCTTATTTACAATTACTAATTTCTATAGACAATTGTAGATTATACTAGCTTTAGTGTAACTATAATCTTAATTTTTATTAATGACAGGAGGCAAATATTTGCTTAAGTCTCTCTTTACTAGAACTCCACAGCAGCACATTAACATAGAGAGAAAAACACCAGAGACAAAAAACTCAGGAATCCATAAAAGGCTTCTCCCAACCAACTAATTCCTCTTTCACGCTGCGACAAAATAAAGTACAAATACAATAACAAGAGAAACAACATAAGATAACGATGAATGCCATCTGAAATTGGAAACGTGGAACCAGTGGATGAAGCCTTGACCTTTATCCTGTAGAGTAGTCAGGTTTAAGAACTGTAGCCGAACCATTAAACTGAAACGAGATAAACACTGATTAGCGAATGAAATGGACTGAGAAAAGGATGAATCCCCATCGTCAGTACTGACGGTACCATATCCCAGATAGACCCCAACTCCCCCAGATTTACAAACCTAGCCCAGGAGACCAGGAATAAACAAAAGTCAGTCAAACCAACCAACAAACCAGGGAAGGGAGAAACTGGGAGGGAAATATTCGCCTCCTGTCATTAATAAAATTATGATTATAGTTACACTAAAGCTAGTATAATCTACAATTTTATAACATGACAGGAGGCTTCATATTTGCTGTTTTAATGCTCGGACAGCAAAGCCCAAAGAAACACGATCTGCCGTAGCAACCTAACTTAGCGAAGATAGTTCCCGCAACCGGCAGGAAAGTGTACAATGTCCTGGAGAAAAACGCCCACCATGATGGCGCCTGAAGTCGCCGAGTACCAACTGAAATGAACCGAAAGACAATGCCCCGCCAAAGCCAACAACCACCGGGCGGTACATGAAGGGCGAAGAAAAGCAAAAGAACCGTCTAAACAAACGGTGGCATCAACCGCAACATAAAAAAGAGAGGCGCGCAACCAAGACAAGAGTATAACCCTCGGGTCCGATTAGAGCCGATAGACAACTAAGGTCTGAACATCCGAACCCATCTGAAAGAAGAAAAATGGGTATGATAAGGCGAACAAATCCAGAGTCGGAGATGGACAAAAAAATGACGAAAACCAGCGATTGAGGCATGACAAACAACGCGTGTAGCCCTTGGGGAAATAAATACCCGTCCTCGGGAATCGAGAGGCTCACACCCCTATGAACCCGCACGTCTAGCTCGAAGGGAGATACCAACAGAGCGAAGCCCGCCGAAAACAGTTGTACACCCTACCTAATCTAAGTGATATGACAGTCCCCGGTCAATAAAACGACCAAACAATAATCGAACCCTGTAACAGTGTTGCAAAATTTCTGTTAATCCGTACCAGACCCAACTCCGTTAGGGTCGCCATGCAGGCAAACGTCTTACGGTCCCCGAGATCAAGTGGGACAGGTCCAGGGAATCCGGGCACTAGTCTCGACTCGGCCGAAGCAGAGGTCATAAAAACAAGGTACCAGCAGACCAAGACACTTGTAGTAAGGTCCTGGAAACAACAATGGAGGGGCCTCCTCAGCGTCTCTCTGTCGAACACCCCTGGAGGGAAACGTCCATCACTGAGCAAACCGGTCTGTATGCCGGCTGAAACTGGACGGGCTTAATGGGTCCTCCTCCGTGGGCTAAGGTCTTGACGCTGGGTCTTCCCGGAAAACTATTCCAATCGTATGAAAAACTCGGATAGGGGGAAAACGTAAGAGGTACCCCTTTGCGTCCGATCCGCCCTCCAGGACTCTACACTTCAAGCCGCAAAGGGGGTCAATATTACTTGTTTGAACACGAACTCCAGGGACCCAAACAAGGAAAATGCAGATAGCGTCTGTCCCGTCGGTCTGGGGGGCAACTCGCCGAGGATCCTGCCAGCCCATCGGGGTAGACCATCCCGCGAAACGTCCTCGTGGAAAAAACGAGAAGGATCTCTTTGGATAGTTCTGGTATACCCAAACGTCCTAAATTCATCCAAACCTGCCAGCCAGGCTGTATCATCGTCCAAATGAATGACGCCCCAGGTCCTTATATCGCATGGGAGAATCCTGAGCCCGTCTTACCAGGAATGGGCCCCGCGGTTCTGGAAGTTCCCTAAGGACCGTGTCTAATTCAAAGTAACTAATGGCTATCACCTTCAAGCGTAGTCTCGTGCAGGCTCCAAAGGCCTCAGATCCCTTGATCCCAAGCACCTCCAGCTGTCCGAATTGACTAAGATAGGGTCTCCTGCAATCCCCAGGTTCGAGGTCCCGTCTGTTATGTCATCCGAAGGTGGAGGCAACTGTGACATTCAGGGCCCAGGGTCCAATCCCTTATAAAAGGTACGGGTTGGAGCTTTAGATATGTCTCTAACGTTTTTTCATATGAAAACTGGGACCCAATATTCTTCCCCGTATGTCCCGTAGGACAACCCACTCATGTGGGGGAGAACCCTTGGCTTGTCATTGTGGACTGAGAAGTAGAGTATAGGCACCGCAGAGGGCCGTACTCCGGATCTCCTGTATACTAGACAGGCGTTGCCACCAGCAGACCCATAGCGCCCCATCGAGGTCTAAGTCTGGGTACGAGGCTACTTTGTTCAGGAGTCTGGCTGGGTATACCACTCCAAGTATCTTGCGGGTTTCTCAAGTCAGCGATCTACGGTCCCAGCAATGATGGTGCTAGGTGCCCGGGTCGAGACCCTTCCGAAGAAATGAGCAATTGGTCGAGGGTCGCACAGGGGTTCGTTTAAGGCGACCCACGAGACAGCCTCTTCTTCCACAGTTGTCGGAGTCCCTGTAGTGGGCTTGTTCTCAGTCCCACGGTGCCACTTGGGGGCATCATCATAGTCCGCCCCCTTCCGAGAGGGACCGGTCCGCCCGCCGTTCAGCTACGGCGGCCGTGGTGGGGCTGGGGTCATAAGGACTATCACCCCTGCGCCACCTAGGCAGTGTAGTCTGGCCACTGAGGCCGATCGTATTGGGGTTAGATGCTTCTCCGAAGTCTAATCTGTCCGGGAGCCTGGTTTAGGGCCTTCACCCCTCCAGTAGCGCTTGTGCACACTTGCCTGCTCTCCTCTAGGAGAGTCGGACTCATTCAAGTCGTCTGTCTTTATTAAAAAGGTGGTGACTGCCGCGTC